CGAGGCATTTTGATTTTTATCTCGTCACAACACAATTTTTTTTCAAGAGTAAAGCAACGCGATACATTATTTGATCCGTTACATCGCCTTAAATTTTTTGTAACACGAAAAGTATGCTAATAACACTTTATCGTCCACTAAAAAAACGGACTTTACCGCGTTATTAACGTAACGAAAAAACCTCATGGGATACAAAATAGTGAAGATCATGGTCGTCTTCGTGCCACCAATATAATCAAGAAGAAATCAGGTGCTGCTATTTATACAATAGTTGATGCATTCAAGCTCTTTTTCATAAATGGCAAAAAACCGAAAAACTGGCAAGTGCTTATTTTATAAAGAGCATATCAATAAAATCTCCACAGAATTCTTTTTCTTCTAGCATCAGAACCGAGCTTTCTCGTCTAGTCGAACTTGAGGCAAAAGCCTATCAAAAATCGGCAATTTCTTCCGTCGCATCCATGATTAGACCTACGACAGTCCATAGTTCAAAATTCAGATGAACTGCTCAAAAGAACTGATCTGTTCTAACAATAGGATATTATAGAAAATTTCTATAATATCCTATTAAATCTAACAATCCTAATTGTAATATATGACACGTCCGACACTGATATTTCTTCTGACAGCATCTTCCTCGTCCTATATGCCAAAACATCTGTTTCATTCTTTACCTATAAAAACAGGTCAAAATGCTCTCATTTCTCATACTATTATTCTAAACTTGATAGAAATTATTGCAACTGTAGTACTTATGTATGTGAATATACCGGGTGAGGCATAATGATCAAATCAACAATTTTTCCAGAATAATAAAATAGTATTTAAAAATGACATCCACTTTATTTGTTTTTTAACGTACATTACATTGACACATCATGTAACAATAATAATATTGTCAATATAATCGAAATAATTGTTATTATCGAATAATCAAATAGTCATTTCTACATGAGAAGGAGAAAAAAAGAACACTGAGATGATTTTCATGCACGAATCAAGTGATATTTGCACAACAACAACGGCAGAAACAGCTTTGTATTCCGTTAGACCTCTTGAGAAGAAACAACAGAAGAGGTTGCACTTAAATGCACACTGTTTTTTCATGCATATATAACAGTGAAAAGAAACAGTTTAATTTAATTCTGCGGTCTCAAAAGGTTACCATTAAACATGACACAGCCCTACAAACTACTCTTATCTGGAAGTTTAATTGAAGGACAATCAGGGGCAAATCATTTTTGTCATGATAATAAATTACAAGATATTGATCTGATGATTGAAATTGGTTCTGTTACATTTATGGATCAACTAGAATTGCTTAATAGTGCACCAGGTTTTGTACATGTACGATCAGCAGATGAAACTGAACTAAACAATCCAATAAGTTATTCAGCACATTTACTTAACAATCTATATCCGTTACCGACTGAAATGAATTTCTTAATGTTGTTAAAATCAAAGAAATTTTTCAAGATAATGTAAAATCAACTCCGTTCTTTGAAAATAATCTAATTCTTCAACGTACGTACACTACAGCACCGTCCCTTGCCATTATTGAACATTCAGCACAATTTAACGTTGGTCATAGTACTGCTAAGCAGTTTTATGATTTGTTCGACTACGCTGGAAAAGTGCAACAACAACTGCCAGATAGAAGAAAAATGATAAACTTTCTTGCCTACGCTGATAATGAAATTCACTATATGTGAAAAAAAGCTGCTATAAGTCTGAATAACGCCGCGCCGAATATGTTTGATATTTTTACAGAGAAAAATTATTATATTGATCTGTTATCTATCAGTCCGTCTTCCGGACGTCCTATTTTGTCAAAACAACTGTATTATGGATGTGTGAAACTATCTATTTGGATCAGATTTACACTCCAACAACGGCAGTGAACGATGCGTTAGCTAGACTGTTAGCTAAACTTTGGATTGATTATGCTTGTTCAAAATTAGACTCCAGAACTTGTTCACATTACTTCATTAAAGACTTGAATTTACTCGAAGGTTACTCTAGTGACTATCTCGATTGTTTGTCTTTTATTCTTCGAAATAAGGTTGATCTTGATGATACTCAAACGCCTCAGGTGAATACTGAGTTCGATTATAATCGAGTAAATGAACTAAACGTAGATGAGCAGAAGCTGTATTATTCCTTTACAATGCAATCATCTGGTCCAGAATTTGCTTCTGCTTCACAAAGCTCAGTAATATCGTTATGGGTGGCATTCCAGATTCCAGCAGGACAAATTATGAAAAGGCTTTTGACATTTTTATAAGTTACAGTTTTCTAGGGCTCATGGCTGCATTAGATAATTCTTGTATGAATAATTGGAAACTGTAGAAAAATATCTTTATCGATAATGTATCCGGACAGGCACCAGTTTTATATTCAGACGAGGATGTGGATAATGGTACTATAATGACGAGAAAAGGTCCATTGTATATTGCAGGGTTAATGACTGTGGCAGATATAAAAGAGATTGATAAAATGATTTCTGATGAACAATTTAATGATAAATTATTAATAAGACGTTCAATTCCACCTTATTCATCTGAGAATCTTATTCTAGCATCGGTGAAAAGAGGTTTGAATTTTGGGATTGAACCACATCTTGCACAGCGAAGTATTATACAAGATACTACTAGTACCATAACCAAAAAAATTAATGAGCTTACTACAGATGTACCTTTTCTGTTCTATTCAAACAGTTATTTTATTCCGATCGGATCACAAAAGAGCAATTTGATTCAGAAAATAAACATGCAATAATCAGACAGAGTATCAATGAGTTACTACCACCTTCAGAATTATTTACATTGAACATCAATCAGTCCGCATCACCAGACGGTATAGAGTATATTTCTGCACATTTAGTATACGCCATCATTAGTCTTTGTTTTCCACTGTTTGTTAGCGATAAAAATTCAAACTTCAGTTGGGGAACTCGTGTAGACACGACGGCGCTGTTGTCACTACGTATCTTTTTTGTGGATCATAACAGTTTAAAAATGTCATGGGAGCCGCCAACAGTGTATCATTTAGTTAGGCGTCTTTACGTCTACCGTGAAATTACACCAACAATGCTAGGACAGGAAGAACAGCAGCCACCAGTAACAATCCATGAGCTACCCGACGTTGTAGATCTTCGCAAGACTATTCCCACAATTAAAGACTTACACAATTGGGATTTAGCATGATGGGAACGTATGCGCAGTTTTTCATCACCACTATCATCATCTTTGAGTCCGGTGGCAAGTGCTGATGAAGAATATGAAATTAAGTCTGATCTGCAACAACGTCCATTCCTTGAATTTAAACGAAGTAGTTTTATTCTACTGGATGTTGCAGAAGTTCAGGTTCGTAAATCTACCGCAGATATACAGATGACTGTTTAACTTACCATCATACGAAGTTCATTTCTAGAATAGTGATCAATTTCGAAAATTACTTGCTATGAATTCCACGAACGGACAATTAACATTAAAAATTTCTTGTAAAAATTTATTCGAAGACTCGTATACACAAATAATGCAGTTTAATTCTTTTGACCTACGGAGGTCGGCAGTGAATGTCATATGGAGTGATGGGAGGCATTTTCAGAGATTAAAGCCTTTGATAGAAAATAGAAATCTTTTCTCAAACATTGTTATTGAAAGTTTTTCAGACCACTTTATGTCGTTTAAGATATTGCTACACTGTCTTCTTCGTTAACAGAACAAGACCAAATACAGAAGTTGAATTGGTATGATCAGATTTATAAAGTAATGTGCAATATGAAAATATTCACTATTACGACAATAAAAAATCGAGTCTACAATCTTATAAATCCGTATTATGCCGAGAAGACGTATTTCCAGTTAGTAATGCTATTTTTTACCATCAGATTGTGTGGCAGGAGGGAAATAACCTCCAATTTTGCTGGACACACTTCGAAGTGTCTCTCACTTTGAGTGAAACTTCATCACTTAGAGTGTCACTTTAAGTGACGAAGTGACACTTAGCTATTTTTAAGTATCAGTTTATTTCATTGATTTTGAAGTTATTTGGAGTTAAGTCTGGAAATTTGAAGGTTAGCAAATATATCTCTATGCGTAGATAGCTTTTGTTGTTCTCAATAAAATTTGGTACAGTTAAAACTCAAGTGCACAAGAAAAGACAACAAAGATAGCGTCAATAACAGCATTTCTACTACTATCAGCGTCAAAATTTAATGCACTCGGTTGTTTTTCGAATAACTCTATAACGATAAAAGACAGAAACTTGCGATTGCCAACAATCGAAATAAGACAGTTTAACCTATATTTTCATAAGCAAAACCCTTTTCCAAAACCATTCGGAAGATCGATTTTATAGGAGATCTTTGAAGAGGCACTTCGGACCTCCGGAAACTGAGCTAGAAACCTCAGATATCTTCCATAAATGGATAGTCCAAAGTGTATTCTCGAAAATGCAAACTAAGTTAACTCTTAAGTTTTCCCGGTTCAGTTGTGACATCAGATTTCCTGAGAGTCCCAGAATCAATATTTCTTTAGGTGTGATAATTTCGAAAATAATGGAAGCATAAGTAATCAACTACGTTGAATCTTGCGGCAGTATTTGTTTTTCAGAAAACCTCCAACAACCTATTGAAAACCTATATTAGGTGAAATAACTCATTTTTGCCTATTTTCGATTATAATCTGATAAAAAGTAGAAATTAATTTGGTGAGACTAATAAAAGAAACATTTTATCGATCTGCGATATAACCATTGTTTCATATAGACTCACGCTACTGCGTGAATACAATAAATAATAATTTTTTTCAGATTTTTCAAATTTAGCTGCATAATAATGTTCACAAATATCATTGTCGTCATGTTGCTTTTGACTGCAGTGTTTGGCGTCGTCACATATCCTGAAGTGACGATAAGTAATATAATTCCCCGTCAAGATACAGATGGAAATATAATGGATGCTCATGAGGGTAGTATCTTGCTGTATGACGATCTCTATTTTGGTGCAAGTTACGGCCTATGCAAAGAACCTCCGGGTCCATCAGGTTGTACTGTATGGAATCCAGGTGGATGCGGTTATCAACTCAATCATAATGTTAGTCTCTATACTTCGGCGGATCTTTCTGCCTGGACGTTTCGTGGATACAACTTTCAAATGTCTTCAATGAAGAATCAAGGAATAATGTTCGTCCCTCACATTTTATTAAATCCGAAAACGAAGAAATGGATCGTGTGGTTTAATTTTTTGCTAGCTGCAGGTACAGGTATCTCGCAGACGCAATATGCGGTGGCCATATCGGATACACCACAAGGTCCCTTTCAACTGTTCACTGATAACGTTACTATCCCAGCATGGGAAAATACGGGAGATTTAAATCTCTTTCAAGATGACAACGGAGATACCTATATCATTTATACTGCGCATAATGTCTGTGGAGAAACTGTCTGATGACTATCTCAGTTCATTAGGTAAAGAGTTTAATAGTGGATATTTTAGTCAAACTTTTGTCGAAGCCCCCCATTGTTTAAGCGCAATGGAACTTACTATGCAGTATTCGATCAGTATTGTTGTTACTGTGCAGAAGGGTCTTCTGTCACTGTCTATACTTCTTCATCTCCTCTGGGTCCTTTTAAAACAACAAATAATCTAGGGAATGAAGATCATGCACAACAACTCAACATTATACAGTTTAAAAGTACTAAAGATGGAGGCTATGGATACTTGTGGCTAGGTAACAGATGGCAAAGTTCTCTGGATGGTATCAAAGGACATGATTTTACCTTCTGGTCGCCAATGTCGTTTGATCAGAATGGTAATGTGAAGTGTATGAACTATACGACTAATTTTATCATTGATGTAATTTCCAATATTCATTAAAATCTGTCCGGATTCTAACAAAAAATATAGAATTAATCCTATGAACTTTATCTTTGGTGTTTCGTTTTTGCTAGTGATCAGCATTTTCTCACGTGTTCATATTTTAGTGATTCATTTTATAACGAAGGATGAAACTGTATTTGAAACATGTTTCTGAAAAAGTAGCATTGATATCAGTGCATAAATACATCAGAATCGTTGAAAGGCGGTCCACAGCCTCAGCCGGACATACTGTTGTCACTGTCTTTCATTAAAAAATTTATTAATCAGTTTAAAACGAAAAAAACTTTTTTTTCATTTTCTTCGTGCAAGAATTTCTAGAAAATCGGGATTATATAATACCGCAACCTAGTCAAATACTTACTTTTGTTCAGTTCTTTATTCTTTATCGAATGCTATTTGGTCAAAGTCTCCATCACTTTCAAGTGTTGAATTGTTTGTGTTGAGTTGTTTAAATGTTAAAAATAGTTCAAACTTTAAAATTAAAATTAAGCTTAAAAATAGGGCTGTCAGATTTAACGTTAATTAACGTTAATTTTCGTTTAACGTTAACGTTAATTCTAACGTAAACGTAAAGTACGTTAACGTTAATTTTAACGTAACGTTAACGTGGCAGCCCTACTTAAAATTCAAACTTAGAGTTGAAGACTTGACTTTTTTTCTTGACCTGACTTTTGTAGCACGCCCTGAATACAATATCCTTTCCCAAAAAGTTTTAAACGCGAAGGTTTTTCTAAAAAAGTTTTTTTTGGTACAGGTAGGCTAAAAATCACAATTTCCTATAAACCGTACCTTCAGCCTTTTTGGACCAAACTTTCCGTTAAGCAAAGAAAGAGCATGGTCTGAAACCCCTTATGATTTTCCCCTTATGAAACCTCTTATTTTTAAATGATTTTTAGAGCCTTAAAAACATTGATCGTTAGACAAGAAAAACTACATTAGTTACATGAAGTTAAACCTGTGTTCATAAAAATTCATTCCCTGTTCTGTATGACGCCCTTGTTATCTGACGACAATGAATTTCACATGTGTCACCACTTTGTTGAAACAAAAAATCCAGCTAGTCTTATTATAAGGCAGCTTTTTATAGTAATTTTCCAAAGAAAACTCTATAGACCTATATTGGGTCTATAGAGTTTTCTAATAACAACAACATAATTATATTGTACAATAGAGAAGAACGTATGAGAGGAAGTGTATATAAATAATGTAGTGAAATTATAAACTTTATGTCATATTTTCTAACTAGCGCATTTCAGTCATCATTATTGTTTAAACATTATTTTTCAGAAAAAATATTTATAATTTGCAACAATGATACAGTCGAAAGTTGATTTGTTACTCTTATTAACGAGCACACTATTTATCGTATCAGTATTCGCCTATNGCCAGAGACGGGCATGTGTAAAGGAATGTTTCCACAATTTTATTATAATAAAGGTACCAATAATTGTGAAGAATTCACGTGGGGAGGATGTGGAGATAGGTTGAGATTGACTGGGTAAAGAGCATAATCTCAGCTTGATTTATATGTAAAAATATCAAGGCTTCGTTTACCGTTGTTGTGTATTTGAGGCTTTATTGAAAAAGAGAGTGAGGAACAACAGCGACTGTCTGGCTCATGATCCTTACACATAAACGTTATTCCAACAGTAATGTGCTTTCAGAATATCTAGTTGATTTTCAAAAATGATAGTTTGCAATACTTATTGTTACCGGACTCCATTATTTTTGTCTTATCCGGTTTTTCTATTACTGTTAAAGAGAAAATATCTAACGTTCTGACTTGAAGGTGAACGTTAGCTGGCCACGCTGAAGATAAAATCCTGGTCTGAATGTCCTGAAAACTACTAACTTTTCCTCTGTAATGATTAGAGTTTGGCGATTCCGAGTCCGGTTCCAGTTCCAAAAAACAAAAATTTTCCGGTTCCGGTTCGGTTCATATACCGAAAACGTTTTTTCTCCGGAACCGATTTGGATAAACTTTTTTAATTTTCAAGATTTTTCTGAGAAAATGGCAGAAGATTTTCGAAAAAAAGGATATACAATTAGCCTCTGCTTTTTAAATGCTACACATAATGATTTTTGAGCTTTGAGCAAAAAAAAATTCACGTTAAATAGCGACAAAATATTCTTCGGTTCCGGTTCTGACAAGAAAATTTTTGCGCTTCCGGTCCAAAAAAAGGAACCGTCGGACGATAGTAATGATGCGTCTAAGTCTCGCTGTTTACAGACAACAATGACTTGCATAATGAACTGTTTCGCCAGTCTTCTTCCACTCTAATTTTCGTCTGTAGGTGA